CCGTCTACAAACTGTTCACTCGAGTCATCCTAAACAGGATTGACAGAACACTAGACGAAGGACAGCCATGTGAGCAAGCAGAGTTTCGAAGATGATTTAGTACTATGGACCACATCCACACGGCAACACGGCTCACTGAAGTATCGCGAGAGTACAAAAGACCGGTCTGCCTCACTTTCATCGATTTACAGAAGGCCTTTGATTCAGTTGAGATAGAAGCAGTCTTGGAAACCTTTGATAGTCAAGGAGTCCCTACTCAGTACATAAAGATTTTTCGTGAGCTTTTCACAAGCAAGATATCACCATTCTACAACGATATTAACATTGACGTCAAAAGAGGAGTGAGGCAAGGCGAAACCATCCCGCCAAAATTATTTAGCACCACCCTCGAGAACGTAACGCGGGCATTGGAATGGGATAATATGGGAGTGAGAATCGTTGATCGGCGGTTACAGCATCTTCGCTTTTTGATGATATCGTTCTTATAACACCAAGAATCAAAGCGGGACGTATACTTGCCGAGTTTGATAAAGCCTGTGGAAAGAATTGTCTTCGGTTAAATCTCACAGCAGCGATGTTTATGAGGGACGGATTGGTTATGTACGCCCCATTCACAATCAACGTAATGAATCTCTCCGAATGCTCCAGTTTCGTCTATCTAGGTTGGGGAAATCAACATGATGAACAACTTAGCTTTGGAGTTAAGTAGCCAAAAAGAACGACTCGGGGAGCTTTCAAGAGCACCGAGGATGTAGTGAAGAGAACAAAGAACACCAAATTAAGGAATTTCCATTTTTCTTCTGCATTTCCATGATCTTTGCGTATTATATCGTTCTCTAAAGTTTTAGAATAACTAATATGCAGCAGTCATTTTTACAACTGGACTAACTATAGTTGTTTATCGTCCATCCTACTAAAGTTTTTGCTTGTTAAAAGCCTAGAAGAAAGCTATGCCTTACTTCTTTAGCACGCATGTGAAAGGAGCATGTAAAAATGCATGTGCTACTAAAATAAAGGACAATGGTACAAAAAAATGTTTCCAGCCCTTTTGAGTATTCGAAAATCGACTAGGAGACACAAACTCGTTGGCTAAACTTGCGTGACGATGTGACCTCTGGAGAAGTCATACAACGTGAAAATAGTAACCGCTTTCAACATTGAACCAACATTTCTCAGCTCCTAGTGAATTTTTCTAATAGCGATAGAAACTAATAAAATTGAAAAATTTTTGCCTGCGTGATAAAAGCTTCTTGCCTTACCAAGATAGAATTCCAAGTTTATGAAGTTCACGGCAAATATTTCCTCCATTTCATTGTCTAAGTGCTCATATTTTGGAAGCTAAAACAATAAACTAATGGAATTTCGCCAAGCATATAGTGATGGTGTTCCCTATGCTTCAATGCCGACGCGCTTCCTTCAGTACAAAAAACATAGACTTTTCTGCGGCTTTCTTGAGTGTTTCAACTCTAAACGAATTAAAGCATCAAGCGACATTATATAGGAATTACATACGCGATTAATGCTACAGTAAGATTCCTTCTGCAAAGTTATGAAGTTCCGAGCTGCAGAAAATACTATAGGAATCGAAAAACTGTCATTAATTGTCGAAAAATCAGCTTCATCGCAAAAAGGACGGAATACACCGTTACTTGCCTAACTGTGATCTAATTAGGTTTTGAGAGAATGGGTGTTATTAATCGATATGACAATTCTAGTCGTTGCAATCAACCCGAAACTTGATCCCGTCTTGTTTATTTTGGAATGCTGATATCCCAAAAAATGACGAAGAATCTCAATCACTTAATAACTGTTTTAGATTCTTACTAGGATGTTAGGGAGCAGGTTATAGCTCAGTATTAACGTTACCCTGCAATACACATCTGGTTCTTAGTTCGATTTCGAGCATCAAGCTTTCCATACCTCCGAGCTTGGGATAAAAGTGATTCTTATGGAGGAAGGCGATACGACCGGCTCGCTTCCTTCACATTGATGGCCACTATAAGTCATTGTACAGACCAGATATACACAGTATCACCGTGATGGAATGAATGGAGTTAGGTGCATGGCGAATCTTCAGCAATTTCTCATTTCAGGCGCTTTGTTCTTCATCCTTTAGTATACAAGTACAATTAATTTCATTCGAATAAAAAAAGATTTATATCGTATTAATTCTAAATGAAAAGAAGGAGCGCGTTTATTGAATATTAGATTGTTCGCAGCATGACGAGATATTATTCAACGGTTCTAGTCAAATGCCTGTCTTTTCTAGCTTTCAAATAGTTCTACTTCTCTATTTTGTATACACTAGGCGCATTTTTTTCGCACTCAATTTAAGCAGTAAAAAACTCGACTTTGCCGGTTGCATTGAAGGCAATTCCTAGATTTAAAGAATTAATGCGATGCTTGCGTCATGAGTAAAGACTCTTCTCGGTTTCCACTCCATCTAACAGGCTTGGAATCCTAAAGCCGTCCGTTTTCACACGTATATATTTTGATATGTCTATTTGATCATTAACTTGAGTCACAATGATTTAAGACTCTGGAGACATCGAAAAGATGTCAACTCAAGATAACAAGCGTTCAGTCAATTACATTCGACTGTTCTCAGAAATCTCGAACTAATTAAATTGAAACGTTGTAATGTTTTGCAGCGGTATGCTTTAGTACTGCTATTAATGAGGGCCGACTGCTAAAGGGTACAGCTATAATAATCGCGTTTTCCAATTTTCTGTTACATTTAAGTTAACAGTCTTTGTATTCAGAGTCCACTGAGTCGAAATGCGATAAGCGAAAAACTTCTGTTTTCCTAGTTCAATTTCCTGAAAAGTTCTTGAAGTGTGCACTTATCTACTTATTAGGTTTTCTCGAAAATAATGCTAATTTTGCCCTTACAAATTTTATTTGGCCATCGTTTAAGTGAAATCTTATACTTTTGTGTTTACGAGAAGTACTACTTCCAATCACATATAACCTAAGCTCGTGTGCTGGTGTCCTTTTCTTCATTTTTTCACTTCAACTTGCTCTAAATTAGGTTTATTAAAATGAAAGCGAGCAAGAAATGATAGGGTCTTTTCTGTGAGGTTAAACTTGTGCGAAACTTACGAAAATGGCTCGAAATATTTATTGACTTATTTCATACAACCCGTCTTTCGCATCTACTTTGCGGATTCCAGCACTTCTTGCATTCGATTCGTTTCCTCGCATTCATCATCCACCAAGGTCTTCGTAAATTTCAGGTGTAGGTCTGGCTGCAGATTGAAGATTTTCCTTTCGTTATGAATTTCTTTGAATAGTTTTGTCGACTGGTCGTGGCGGTAGTGGTCTAGACGATTCTCCCTTAGCTCTTGAATATCAGGACTAGAGCGTTCCCACTGGGATTTCGAGGAGTGAACTGTTTTCTGACAAGCCCGGAACCTGCTCCCCTATCTCGCGGAAATGAAAGGCTTCGTGAACACGGTGCGAATTGGACCATTTTCGTGTTCGTGATGGTTGTTACCACTACCTTTCTTGAAATTCGTGACCTCTTGAAAAATATTGATTTACATATTTGATATAATTGTATATTGGTATTGTCACGTTTAACTGGAAAATTGTTTAAGATCGTGTGGTAGAACATCCGTTTGAAAGTTTCGTGTTCGAAAGATGAGGCATGAAGATGGGCAGGTTCTGAGTCTGCTTGCTATTGTCAACGATTACAGCCTAAGGATGTCAACTGCTGCGGATCATTTCCAAATGACTCGAGAGTTTGAGGGAGATCTAGGAGTAACCATAAAAATAGTTTCGCGACATTTTTAGCAAGCTACTTGGCCAGATACCTTGAAAGTTGCTACCCATTATTCGAACTATCGTTGAAGTCAATTGCCCCATTGAAGTCGCTTCGCGAAAAGAACTACAAGTATTGAAGAAGAAATATTTCCAAACACTGCTTCATTCACTGTGCTACTTACTATTCTCTTAATCCAGCATTTAATTATCCATCAGAAATGAAATACAACGGTTTACTGTCTGGAAACTCTTCAAGAATTATGTTACTGCCGAAAATACTTTCGGGATGTCGCTTATACACTGAAATCTAGGATTTTACTGAGTCTTGGCGAATAGTAGGACAGGGTGGTGAACGTACTTTCCGGTAAAGACTTGTTCATTTGAACGGTACTTCAACTGGTTAAAATTACTACAAAGCGTAATTGAAGAATAAACACAGAAAGATTATTGTAAAATTCTAACATTTGTTCCTCAAGATCGTTCCACTGCTATTTCGAGTTAATTCCGAAGAACTTCGGATAGTTACAGTGCTTATCGCTTACTGGACAATCCCATTACCTTAGCATAAGCATTCTTGTAAATTTCTTTGGCTTTTCGTGGCTGATTGATGTCTAGCTAGATCACCTGCGTTCTATCGCCTTTGCTAACGATAATTCTGCACAGTACTGTCTACATCACTTTATCAAAACGAATTTAACTGCTTCCATGTTAGATTGTGTTTATTTTCCTATGCCGCTCGTAGAATAACGAACCTTCTAAAATATATACTGTATGCTGTTAAACACATAATCTAAGCAGGTATAACGTTTTTGTGGTAGGACATGTGACATCAGCTCCTTAATAACGACTGAAATCATGATATACAGAAGAGGTTCTTGCAGAAACTGGTTATGAGACAACTTCTTGCTCTCATAGCATCATTTCGTAGCAACTTCCTCGCACCATTAGCAAAAATGGAAGTAAATTTCGCCAATCTTTGCGATTCAAAGACGTCTTTGTGTCGTTCGCCCCGCAACTCCGAGTTTTTTCTTTCTCGGCGGCTCTTCTGGTGCAGCACTCATGTGTGCGTGTGTGTGTGTGTGTGTGTGTGTGTGTGTGTGTGTGTGTGTGTGTGTGTGTGTGTGTGTGTGTGTGTGTGTGTGTGTGTATGTGCGTGTATGTGTGTTTCAGTTTCTCCTTTCAGTGTTATCGAAACACTGAAGGCGTTTCAACTGAAGTAGATCTGCGGCGAAATTATGGAGTGCGCAGCACTTTGCATGCTCGCTGCCACTGTTGGCTTTGTGCCATCGTCAGATACACATGTGAGTTGTTCTGTCTACCTTTGCTCCATTATGAGTTATAATCACGTTAACGTCATTTACTGCTGTCTATTTATTTGTCATTGCTTCCTTCTTTTTTTTTTGCTCCTTAGTAAGTGCTCCATATATATATTGTTTGTACGTGCATATAGTTTACCATGAGCTTTTGTCATTGCAGTTAGCAGCTGCAATTTAGCCAGATTCTGGGTAAAAATGTCAAATATTTTTTTTTATTCGTGAGGTTAAAAATAGCACTATTTAACTAGGAATGACTATACAGCACCAAAACATTGATAAAATTCGCTATAAATCCTTCGTGAAAAGAAAGAAGTTTTCGGTTCTTCCAAGAAATCAGATGTTCCACTCATTCCAGTTGTAAAATTACCCATTTGTTAAAGTGATTGCAGTTTTCGTCGCCAAAAATCAACATAATATTAACGATGCTAAGTGAGTCATAAGGAATCATTATAAAATCGAATAAACTCAAAAGAATTAGGCTTCAAATCATCCTTTAATAGTTATAGCCCTTGGTCGTATCAGTTTGCCAGCAATAGCGTGTTTTTTCACTCCGTCCGTCCGTATATTTATCGACCTTAGGAGACGCTTGTTCCCAGAGGCATCAGCTGCACTCCACAGGGGTCGAAGTGGGAGGCCCACCAGACACATAACATTATTGCTTCCACTACAGCCTTCTAAAGAATTGTAGTACGTATCGCCGACCAGACATTGCTTTGCGGAAAAGTCAGTGTCACTTTTAATATTTGAACACAACTATACATAGTCAAGATCACCTTTAAACGCACTGTCCAACTCCCAGGAAATTTTATTGATTGAAACAAAAGCTGATAAAGTCCACGCTTTTCCTAACGACATTTAAGCTTCCTTAGTTTGTTGCGCCAATATAGATGGTTTCAGCTCAAATACTACTGAAGCTAACAGATTTCCCCAGTGCGCTTCCACCAGTTTTTTTGCTGTCGAAGATTTTTCCCAGCATTTTGTTAACAAAGCGCTTTCGAAAAGACATTAATACATGAGTAAAAAAAGCTCTGGTAAATCTAATAAGTGTGCCAGATAATTATTACATTTACTGTAATGGCAGTAAATGTAACTAATATTTTTATTTGCATGGCCCGTCATCACATTTGATGCGTGTACCCCAGCACTTGTTGCATTCGGTTCGCCTTGCTAGCATTCATCTTCCACGAAGGTATTATAATTTTTGCATATTGTTTCGGCTTCTGCTTGAGGATTTCGTTTCCTATGAATGTAGTAGAACGCTGGTATCCCCACTATCCTTGCATTCTTGGAGATAGCCGATCAAATGCTTTTCACTTAGATCGGAGGAAAGCTGTGTGAGAGGATCGGACCAGCATCTTGTTTTCTGAGAGACTACACTACAAATCACCGCGCTGTCTCACCGCTCTTTACCATACTAGGCAATTATCTAGAGCTTTTATTCCAACTTCTGCATTTTTTGCCGGATTTATTGTGCTTTGTTTGGTTAGGTATGGTAACACAATAGGATTGAGCTCACTACCTCTTTCCAAAAGACTCTTGTTATATGTTGCAGCCTATCACCTGTTTTATATTACTTGACAGTACTCTAGTTAGAGTTGAAAAACACATAAACGACGTCGTCAGCTAAAACGATTTTTTTATTGACGTTTTCTGCTTTTCGTCGAATTCATGCTCCACCAAATTTTCAAATTTTTTTAACTTTCCGGTTCGATTAACATTCCCCAAAACAGTAGTTTTATACCGTTTCCTTTATCGTAAACCATCGCAGCGCTATGCATGTATCAGCTCCAATTAGTTCTTCAAGTGAGCATTGTCAGTACTAGTAAGTTTTACTGATCATCATCATCATCACAGCTTTCATCTCCATCACTGAACATCTGGAACCAACGTTGCACCTCATTAACACTTACGGTTCACTGGTCGAAGCCTTCGTACTGAGAGCGGTTTCCAACACTCTGCACGCAAATTTAAATTCATACAGAGAAGCTGTTCGAGTCTACTATTTTCGCTTTGCTGTTTCAAAAAGCTTTGAAAGACTGGACATTAGGTACAACTATTGTTATTGCAATACGCAAAAAATCTTTTCTCATACGTAGCAATGTACGATAATATTTAAAAACGAAGAGATCTGAAGAATAACCCACTATAAATGCAGCATCTTTGGTGTACAGTAGATGCTATGATTTTTATTTTCGGGTTAATTTAAAGTGGTCTTCTTCTTTCCGTGAGAGTGGGATCGAATCTTTGCATGGAAATAAATGGGTGGGATTTGAATTTCTAATTTGGAAGAATTTTTTAAAGCATACTATTTCTTTGGCTATTTATTTCTTCGTTGTTACATGAGCGCACCCACTTTAAGAGTAGAACGTTTGTAACGATTCTCTGAGATGCCGATACTTAGAAAATACCACAGATCGAATTTCTGAATATTTGCGTGCAGTCAGTTTGGCGTGACATGGTGATGATAATGGCTGCCGGACCAGTAAAACATGTAGAAGTGGTTGCAGCACTAAAATAGCACACTCAGTCAGCATCGTCACGTCGTATCGTACCGCAAGAAAACGGAATCATAGGCTCTAATGGGACGGAAACCGCATGGCGTTTCTTTTGAGAGCGCGATTGTCACAACGCAATAAAATGCATGGTTTTAGGTGTCGCGACACGCAGCGATACTCATAAACGCGGTCTAAAAAACTGACAACACATCGACGATAAAATGTGGCATTTCTTTTGTCTTCCTCAAGAACGCAATTAATTAGATAAAGTAATCCATAAGGCTCTTTCACGTTAACGGAGCTCACTAACTGAGCACTCCTTCCAAGAAAGGAATGCTGAAAAAAGCCGTGTGCGAAAATGAGTTCTCTTCAGATCTTATGCCTTCTTTTGTTTCGCAGAAGCATGGTCCACATGTAAAAGCCTAGTTCGACTTATGGCATTCATAAAAGCGAGTGAGCCCTATTCAGACTTCAGAGGTTTCCCCCGTGAATCCTCTACGGCTCTAAATTGCCATTATATTTTCCAGTAGCATTAGTGACCACTTTTTCGTGATCTTTTATTTCAAATTTATCCGGGCACCTGTGGAAGCGCTGAGTGCGGCCTTAACTTATAAAAAATTATTTAAAATGAGAAAAAATTATGGAATGAGATGTGGTGGCCGATTTTGTATGCCGAAATGCCTTTTCGTGCTACTACATTGGCAAAATTCTTAGCCGAATAATTTGCTGTTTTCTTGATAAGCAGACACGAGGTTTTTACTATCCTATTCACTCACAAAAGCTGACGTTTCAGTAGATTTCGCCTTCTTCAGAAATAAAAATATCAAGTTGGCTGAAATCTAACTAGCCAAATACCCTTATAACCTTAACAAAAAAGTCACGTTACCTAGATTTCATTTGCACTGGAGACGAACCAGCATCCTCGCACCTTCACGGATTTTTATGAGTCCTCCACGTGGAGACCGGGTGCAAAGAGCTCACATTAATGAGTTATGCGTTCCATTCACATTGAAATATTAGTATAAGGTATTGAGTGAGATCAGACGTGATAATGAAGAATTCCTTTCTGTGGTTGGTTTCTAGACTCCTAGAATTGATTCAGAACGATTCAAGAGTTTCGTGCGTTTTCCATTCTTGCGCAAGGTTGGTGATTTCTATTTCAAAATTTTCTCCGTTATGCGTGCGTGCGTGCGTGTGTGTGTGTGTGTGTGTGTGTGTTTGTGTGCCTATATGTGCCCAGTGGAATGTTTGGTTTAGCTTTAGTTTACCGACTAGATGTTCTTCTATGCGGACGCACAGTGGTCTACCAGTTTCCGAAATGTATTTATCGCCGCACCCTTTACAAAAGATCAGGTAAACCGCACCCGAAGTCATGCAATACCCGTCTATACCGCAAAAGCGGTAGGTGTCTGAAAAGCTGTTTTGTTTCCAACGCCATTCAAATAAAGCTTTATGGTTTTTCCGCTGAAGATTGCAGTGAACTTAACTTTTTCAAACTCTCAAGAATGCGAAATCGGTTGAAACGTCGACTTTTTGAATAAAGAGTATAGTTACAACTTAATTTGTGCTCATCAGTAAAACAACGATTTCCTGATTACTGCTAACGTTAATAAAATGTCAGTCTTGGAGAATACTCTAGGCAGTTTTGTTTTAAAAAACCAATAAAGGTACCTAATTAATGATATAAATCTAGCTGTGCTGTTTTGTGATAACTAAAATTATTGAAAAGTTTAAAACATGATAAACTTAAAGGGTTTTTAAAAAAATGCTTATTGCGTTGGATATATTCTCCATTCTCGAACTGTAATATTTTAGTCCCTCTCAACGCTTTACCCCCTCATCGTGGCTCATAAGTGCCCCTAGGTGTGACTGCGATGTACAGCGGATGATTCATCCCATGGCTGGGTCTTCCAAGCTGAGGAGTCCGACGTTTCCATCAGGAAGCCTAGCTAAGAGTAAGCCAATACCTAGATCCACCACCGTCCTGGTATCAAAGTCACATGGTGGCATATCTCTCTCTGATCCACAAAGGCTGGAAGTGCCTGTGGTGGTGACGACATGGGGCAGAGTTTGGCCAGGCTGACCTCGGGATTCCAGGGAACCATAGTGGCTTAACCACCAAATCTTCGAAAAACGGAGGTTGTGCTGAGGCCTGCACATTCAATGAGAGCGGGCCATTCAAGTAACAAGTACCAAGTTATCTAGTCATAGGGTGCATGTGGCGCACTGGTCAAAGGAGCGCAGTAATACAAATGAGATCGATTCCCGCCCCTTAACCCACCAATCCCTCCAATCCTCCGAGGGCGGTGAATTGGTACCAAACTTGTCTTTGAGGATAGCAGCACTGGCTCAATACATCGGTAGGCCACCGGGAGCCATTTTAAAAACCAGAAATGCATTCAGTCACCTCTAACGATGCTTGATTAGAATACATGGTGTATCCATTGATCAATGCCGACAGGTTTATCCTTTTTATTAATCTAATCAATAATGATTAAAATTGTTAAAAAATAAGATTTGTAGAAGGTGAAAAGAAACTTTATTTTTTAAAATTTTCAACGTAGACCAGAAAACCCCGAACGCCTACGATACATTAGTGGAAACCATATCGAACTGCTCTACCAAATTTCGACTGTTCAATCTCTCCTTTGATTGAAATGAGACTCCCGAAAATTTAGTTCAAAAAAGAACATTTTATTGTTTCCAAAAAAGCATGATTTTGCCAGCTTGGTAGAACAAGAAAACATGTACATCGCTGGTAAAAATCTGTAGATCTCAAATATTTTTCTTCGTATTTTTGTCGAGCAAACGCGAGGTGTTATTATTCTTTGTTCACGACTAAGCTGACGTTTCGGCGGACTTCGCCTTCCCCAGAGCCGCTTCCCATGAGGCCTCCACCAAGCACGTCACACAGAGACCAACCGCACAGAAATCACATGGAACTATAATATTTTTGGTTAAACGAATAAAGTTCAGAACGACGGGAAATCGTATAATTTAAATTTAAAATGCGTATTGTTATTTTCGTACCATAAACATCTAAATAAATGCACATGGAGTTCGTCATGTGTTGGAAAAGCGGCCAAACTCGAGTAACTAAACTATTGTCGGTAATAGTAATAAATTTATGACCTTCAGGTGTAATAAGCAATAGAACTCTGTTTAATTTTGAATGAGCGTCAGATACATTGTTAATTAACCACTCATATATTCCTGCAATCTGATCGATCAGTTGTACATTCTTAAAAATTTTTGAAATGCCTTTCTCAGTTTAACTAAATTATTTCTAAATTATCCAGCTTTATTCCGGTTTTTCTCTCTTGCTATCATATTATGGAAGATTTAAAGGCCCAACTTCAGGCGGTTGTGAGGCGACACCAAGACTTAATGCTTGTTCCAAAAATGTTCTACTGAATGCTCAAAGTATGCTTGCGATTTCATTTTGATGCTTTCAGCGGTGTTCGTATTGTGTTGAAGCACGGTCGACGTACTCGGATTGTTTCGACGACGTCATCGAGTGCGCATATCGGGATCCAAGCTCCTTAATTTTCTGCCTTAACGTCTACGAACATGCCACGTATGTAATTTTCAGATGTTAATCCACGAATTACCGTCCAACATGTTCAGGTCTTCCATGGTGCACTACTCGGCACGATGCTTATCGTACGAAAAATTTTATGTACCTGACGATACCATCAAGAAGGTATAAACTTTCTAAAGCTCTTACAGTGCTTACTTCAAGGTGTTTTAGATAGGAGCGAATGGAATGTGCAAATTTGCGGATGTACAATCATGTGAATGCGATGTCTGTAAAACTCATACGACAGCTACAGTTTCAACGACGACGGTCCTGTACGTTTTAAATAAAATGTGAAAAAACGTGCACTTAATTTAGTGCTATTCAATTCTGGCTACAACGCGGTTATTAGATGACAAGTGGTGAAAAGCTAGGAACCTTTACTATAGTTTTGAGACTCCAAAGGGAGAAACGACTGCCTAATCTGTAAGTTAAAAGCGAAGTCAAAACTGCTGTGAGTTTCGTGAAATTCTTTGTGACTAATGAGTACGGATCACTCAAGTATTCACGTTCTTCCATTAACCATCAAGTAGTTGAACTGGGCGCCAGTGATGTCTCTATTTTCCTCGCTAACTAAATAGCTTCGCATTGACGGTGAGATGCAAGGTAAAATTCCCATGCAATCATCCACATTTATCTATATGTACTTGAATAAATCAGGCTATACAAGTATATTTCAAGGTGGCATGGTAAAGAATGTAAATATTGGGCACAGTACTGAATGTTGATTCATGTTGAACACCTGCCCGCCACCTACTGATAAAGAACTAAGTAGTGTCACGCCTCATAAATAAATAATTTGCTACGTATCTCTGATATGTAGAAAAAAGGCTTCGTTCGAAGAAATGCTTTTAATTTTCTATTAGTTGGCTTCATGAGTTTAGAATAACGGCTTTCTCACCTCAGCACGAAATTGAAATTCCTTCTGTTCTAAAACTCAAAAAAACCAGGCAAGAATTCAAAGGCAATTCTAAGTTTGATAGAAACTTATAAAATTATTAGGCGCGATTTTTCCAATTTTTGGATTCATTGAGTTACTTGAAGATGTGAATAATTTCAGTAATCAAAACTGGTGGGATTAAAGTTATAGCTATCAAAAATACAGTAATAAGAACGATATTTTAGAAGGTAGTAAAATTAATTTTGAGTACAATTTTTATGTTGGTTGATTTACTGGTGGCCACCTAAGTATATAGTCGTCGACTAATGGTCTAATACTGGATGAACTCTATTAGATATTTTTATATCTCACCCAGTTGGGAAAAATCGGAACAATGATTAACAAATCAGCAGAACAGCAGTCGTAAGCTATTAACGGGGTCATTAGAACACACCATAGGGACCTCCTGGGCGAGATCCCACTTATTTAGTCGTGTTGTTTTTAAAATATAAGCTTTTATGGAAAAGTGAAGAAAAGAATTCCTTGGTGTCCAAGCTACAGGAAGTTCATTTCTGTAGCACAGAAACACATATGTGCTGTTGGCAAAGGTAATAAGCTTAGTATAAAATGATTTTGACAAGTAGAGTTCAAAGTCTATTGGCTGAGAAATGTTTCTTTAGAGCTGAGAAGCGTGATTTTTCTTAAAATTAGAGCGTGGGGTCACAAAAGTGTTAACACCTATCCCTCGATATTTTTTTCTTAGACTTGGTTAACTGTATTTCAACAGAAGTCTATCAAGTTTTGTATTTCCGTGAATAGTATGGCAAACAATCTAATCCGTATAGATTGGATTTTTTGTCTCAGTTTTTTAAACTTAGATTATCCCCAACGATTGTCATTACGTGTTTTTAAACACGCCTTCAGAAACAAAGTTGAAATCGAAGGTCAGTTTACTCGATGAAGAACACTTTGATTCGTTATTTGCCTTTAAACTTGCTCAAGATAATGGATGTGTTCAAATTTATTTGACTAGATGTTGAACTTTTAGGAAGAGACATAGGTATCATCACAATCATCATCATCACGTCAACGAGTCGACTTACTTATCAACGACGCCAGAGATTTATCTCAACAGCTCGTCTTATGGACAAAATTCCGTCTATAGAAATGAACATCAAGATTTTTTCGCTAAATCTCAAGCCGCTATAGAAAAGTCGTTTGCGTTTGCAATGTCAGTGTATATTTCAATTTTTCTCTCGAAATTATATTAATTGCATACGAAATGACAGAAGGCCCAGTCCCGCTGTGTACACTTTATCAAATCCTTGGCATAATTTCATTAGCAGTGGAATCATCAAAGAAAAGTTTCGTCTTTAGTCTGCTCGAATTAGGCGATCAGAGCAAGGAGAGCTCACAGCCCATCTTTCTTCTTATTTAGTAATGTCTTGTCAGTTAGATTTTTAAAAAAGAGATGAAAAGAAACCTCTCCGTAGCGCGTTAACTTGTTTCCTTGAAGATAATAGGTTATGCAGTTGTTGATTACGAGATACTTCCAAGAACACCTCTTCATTTGTAAGCCATCATTTTTTTCTCCAAAATCTGCTTGAAAATTTTGGCACCAAACGTGTGAGAACGTGTGCCATGATAGCCGAAGACAAGCAATGTGTGAAGGTCTTTATCATAATGCTGTCCACACAGACAGCGGACGATGCTTCATTGAATTCGTTAGAAACACACGGACCTAGCGTCTTGCTCTTAGTTTGTCTTCCTTGCTTTTGCCTACTCAATCAAATCCACGACTCCCTTCTGGATGAAATTTCAACGCAGCATACTTTATTCTCAAGGTGTTTACCATGTTCTGTGATTGTCGTACATTCTTAGTCACGACTACATACAACAATTTGCTGTTTTCTCGGGTATATTCTGAATAAAACATTTTGATTCTCAATCACTGTTATTCTGCTAGTGTACGCTTCCATTCGCTTTTTGAAATATGTTTATGAAAACAAACACTGTGCGTAAGTGCTACGTCTAAAACCACTTTGCGATGTCATCTTTTCTAATACTGCGAACACATTATAAGAAATAGGTAAGAGTCTTTCTAAAGAAATCAACATCTTATTCACATCTGGAGAATACATGTAAAATCGTGGAACAATAGCACGTTTCAGTTTTAAAAATATTGGCGCCATACGATGCGTCAGAAACGTCCTGCTTGGCAGCTGCATGAACCTCAAGTAGGATAGAGAATGGGTTGAAGTTGTAGGTGTGAACTGTTGCATAGAATAGAAATGTTCTTGATATCAGGACATATTGGAATAAAGTAGTCGGAGAAGACCACGTTAGCGAGAGACTATTCCGCTGATGTATACACCGAGACAGCACACTTTGAAACTGTTTTTGCGCCGGAATAATCCAAGCATCGACATTGCTTTCCTTCTAATGGTAGAAGACAAAATTGATTTTTCTTTAAAAAAGAATGCTCTTTCTTGCAATTAGACATAAACGTCGATAATAACGTCAGATATGTAGACAAAGGTGAAGACGCGCATACTATAAACTTCTGCCATCCGGGATTTCGTGTGTCGTTGACAAAAACCACATCTTTGCTGGGTGAAGAAGCTTTAGTGCTGGTCGAATTCAGATATGAGATAATATTATGGTGGGAAGACTTTTCGGGAATTCGCGCGGTCTTCATCCTTCCAGTGATTTCGGAAGCTTCTTTAGTCTTTCACTGTAGGCCGTCAAGGTGGTGGTGAAAATAGTCAACTAACATGATATAGTCACTGAATGGTTCGTGGTTTGATGTTAAGTTAGAGTCTGACATCTTTGCCATTTGCTTTTTTATGAGCTTTTTCTAGTCCTAAAACATTTAATAGTAAATATTCCTTAAAAATACCAAGAAAAAATTGAAGCAAACGATTAAAACAATTATGTGGTACAAATAAGTCTTAGTTCTATTAGGGAATTAAATTTGAACCAATGAATATGAGTTTTTCCTATTCTTGGTGGTGGGAAATCACCAAGGTTTTGCTCAACCAGCCATTACATGATTACTAAAGTAACATGATTTGGTGCCAAACGCGCTAGCCTCCGGAAGGGATAATAGCTCGTTCTTTCCCCACCGCAGATACCTGAGGGCTGGAATTTTGCAAATTTCTCAGCATTGTTGTTGTTGTAATTAACATCATACTCTCCCATAAAAAAATAGCAATAAATAAAAATTGATTACTAAGGTACCATTTATTTAAAACAACAATAACTGTTACAGGGTGTTTCGGTCTTTTCACACATTTGTTAGATGTGATAACTTACTTGATCGATTATTTCCATGAGTTCACGATGAGCCGTAGAGGGAGGTCTCAGCCACATAGTTGTCAAGCTTAATAACAGCTAGTGTTTTCACAGAAGAAAGACAGATAATACATTCGTGATGGAACAATCTCTTGTGAATGAGCCTCGCTTTCGATACCATGAGGTATCGCAGAATATTTGGCCTATACAGTGACTTTCAGCAGTCTGCCATGCACATTAGGTTTAGTTGACCAGTGGATCAGGATAGAACCGTGGAGCACGTGGGTATTACATATGGCGCCAACAAAAGCGTTACCCGAGTGACCTTTTAGTGGTTAAAAACTGTTCCAGGGTCAAAGATATCTGCTTTCTGCAGTTTCCTCCAGTCAGTGTTACGGACAGGAATGCTTAAAAGAGATAAAGAATTAAACGTTAGGCGTAGATCTTTCCCTGAGGGATGCTCCATAGATTCAACATCAAGTATCCTTAGAGAAAATTGAAAACATATATGGTTTAAATAATTACTTGCGGTATCGTAACGATGTCTCAACTCAGTGCTGCTGTTCACCCAGACAAGTCTGCTACCAATATGCCACTGCCGGAGGTATGGAAATCTTGTTGTGCCCGAGCCGTAGAACAGAACCAATCACCTGTATGTATTACAAAACATTTTTAGTCATTGTGCTAGCACAGGCTAAAGCAAGTAAACGATAAATTGCGTCAGTGGATTAGTTTCCAAATTTCTAGAGTTAGAAATGCTGAAGTATTAATAAAAAAATGGCTCCCCTTACGACTGCGTACAAAAATATTTCAATGTTCATTTCGGAAAAAAATTTGAAAAAGCAGGAAAATTTGAAATAAAGAATGCGAACCAGAATGCCACCAGTTTTAGTGCTAAAACTTTGCACAATCTCTTTTATTTGTTTTTCTTCCACTAATAAACAAAGCTGCTAATCGTAGCAAACTTGCCTGTGGTTCAGCTCTTCGGGAAAATTTGGTCCGATTTCGTCTCCGTGTGCAAAAATCGCCTTTCGTTATCACTGCTCCTAGACCGTTTTTGCTTTCATTCCACAACAATGTAGTCATCATTTCCTTTCATTGAATCTGCATTATGTATTAATAGAATCTAGATTCTGACGGATTCATATTCACGTACGAATTCGAGATTTTATGATTTCCATTCAGATTTGAAATGGAAAGAGGCAATAAAATATGTAGCTTCAAGGTTTTGGCATCGTATAAAGTGAAATTCGAGAAAATGAAGGAAACAGTGGCGCATGTGAAAAACCACAAAAAAAGAAGAAGCGGAGGAACTCTGATACGTATAAAAAGTAAAGAAAACGTTTTTCACTGGTCTAAAGTCGAAGGATTTATTCGAAACATAACTTGAAGATGAAAATGGAAGCATGAAACTGTCCAACTATCCGCATGCTGCCGATATCTATTTATACCTTTTATTTTAAAAATACTTCAAGCTCGCTACTCATGAAGCGCTCACTGAATAAAGAGTCCTACTACTGTTTGTCAGCAAAGAATGATTGTGATCGCAAAGGTGCTTAACTCGGCCATCACTCGTTGACTCCTCCCACTCAACGACTTTGCGAGTTCGGGTTACGATGTGCTTCCGTCTCAACCAACGCCATAACGGCTTCTTTTCACCTTCTACTGCTTTTGTGCAATAGAAGTGAATCATATCTATTAGGTTAAGTTTCTAAAATAATTCAGCGCTCTCATTGGTAGGAAATTCCCTCAAATTCATTGAAATAGCAATATATCCTTCTTCTTAGATTTCCCAAAAAATATATTTAATTGCAAATGAATCTACAAGATTCTGTATCAAATGGTAATGTATTGTTGACGGTCTAATCTAATCTAATGAATGGATCCAAGACAAGCAGACGAAAGGGAATAACAGTGTCATAACTGAAATCGGAACATATTCTTCAATCATACTCTTTGTTCTCATTTGTACTGCAATGCAGTACTCATCAAGACTCGTATTCCAATGTGTTTTGTCGAAGTAGTCTTCTCCTTTTAACTATGAAATCAAGTATAATATTCAAATGGCAACGTTATATACCTCGTTGTATAAATTCGGCACTCGGCAAGTCACTTTTCATGCCCATTAACACCTTGCGTAACATTTGTGTATCGATAAATTGACTACCTCATTAACTAACTCTATTGTTTGAAACTCGCTACCGTATCGTAAGGAATGCGGCAAAACACAATCAAGCTCCAATGAGGTTGCTTTCATGGTCTCGTATAGTTGCACTCTGTGTAATTTTCATTTGATATATTCATAAGCTCTCTAGTGAGATGAGTATCCTTAACATCACTGATTTTTCTAAACACATTTTTATAACAAATGCTGTTTCACTTCGTTCACTTGAAGAAAGCAAAACACAGTGAAAGGTAAAGAGTGGCTTTGTTGCAAAATTCGCTTGATGTAATGCTTTTAAAGGCTCAGTTAGAAAAGTGAACCTGTAGAGCGCATACTTTACCGAAGCTGTTAGATGTGAAGCGTTCAAAACATATTGAAACAAAAATTCATATTGAACCCACAACCCATCAAACACGAAAAATCAAGTCAAGATGAGGTGCAAAACAGACTGAGAATGAGAATCATAGAATATTCAACATGCTCCACTAGTTTTTCTTTTTTCGTGCTCTGTGAAGTGAGCGAAAAGTGATGAACTAAGAAAAATAACTGTTAGTCGCTTTTTCTGTATGCTTAGTTTTTGCTAAAAGATTACTCGATGACATTTACTGGCTGCTTAACCTCTTGATTTGATTGTCTGCTGAGCTGATATACTGCCTAGGAAGGTTGCTTTCCCACGCTCAGGTGCCTCACATAAATTTTGATCGGCGTCTCTCTAACAGAGGTAGACTTCACCCCCAGTGGCGATCCGTGATTTATGCCTTGCGTTTCAACTTGTAGTCTCACATATATCGCTTTCCTTCTCTAATATGTAGGTTTGTATCTGTGTCTATGTGTATGTGTATGTGTGCGTGTTTGTGTGTGGTTGTCTGTGTATGTGTATGTGTGCATTTGTGTGTGTGTGCGTGTGCACCGAGTTTGTTCGAAAGGATGAAGGGGTGTTTTCTGGTTGTGCTTGCTCGACGGGTTTTTTCTATGTCGCAACGAATGAAATTTATAGATCTTTCACTTTTTTAAAATGTTTTCCACAGTTCATTCTCTTGAAACGAGTCTCTGAAATGAGAATTCCTCAATTCGTGGGAAATATCTGTTTCTTCGAAAATAAGTGCTCTTGACTAATTGATCTAGCTGACGTCTGCACTCAGTGTGACCCTCTGAGTCATACGGACTCTCAAAAGTCTCCCAAGTTCTGAACTGTGCTTCCATGAACTACCATGGACATATTCATTTTTCATGTGCACAAGTTTGCGATTCGATTTTTTCTTCTCATTAAGCAAAGCATATAGCGGAAAAGGTACGGAAACCAGCAGTGAAAGAGGAATGTGTTATATCTAGCAAAGAAGCAGCTTAATTTAAGCAATCACTCTACCTATTGTTATTACTATCAATCTTAATATTATTATTGCTTATCTTCCTGATAGTAATGCTGTTAACGAGGGTGGCCTCTCAAGCAGTTGTTATATTTGGCGACAACTGCGATGTGAAAGCAGTAGTTAGAATAACAAAGACAATAAAAACGGAAAGAATCATTCTTTTCGTCCTCTTTCCTTGACGCTTTTTCTGAATCGAATGCTCCACAAGGGCAAGAGAATGATTAGACACAGCGAACTGAGAAAAGAAAAACGAAGTGGAGGCCTCGATTGTCAACTTACGGTCCGTTAATTTTCATTTAAATGTTTCACAGAAATAATCTTCCTAGGAAATCTTTAAAGTAGAACGGTGCCTTTAAATGTGTCATACAACTTAGAAGAGTGTAAAATCTCAAAAATTGACTAGAATAATTTAAGATGACTAGGCCATATATTTCATCTCCTATGGTGGCTTAGAATTTCACATGTTAACACTGTCATGGTTTTTCCTTCTAGACACCCAGAAACGACAATACTGACAAGACCGCCTAATGAAATTCCGCATACAAGGGCAACATACATGATTCACAATTTGCATCAAAGTGATGATGATTTATCAGAAGGAATTCGTGAACCGATGACGAAAAAATGCAACCAACCTCACGTCAACTATGAGCGCCGCCTCAATCCATGATGTCCGTTGTTAATAAAAAGCTTGTGTACAGCTGTTCGACTGTATGTGACTGTTTCAGGATGATGTGAGAGCATGAGCCAGCGTCTCGCAACTATATCAATATCAACATGGTGCGTTTATATCATGGGTTACACCTTGTAGATTGTGATGTTATACTCAACTTAACGGTTTCTTTCAGTTCTTTTATACTTCATTCGAAATTTTCAGCGTGCTTCTTGTTCTTATGCTTAATGTGGACAGTTTAACGATGAAAGAAGGAGAAACTCGTTGGCAACTATTTAATCAGTGCAGCAAGGCAATGCTGCAGACTTATTTAGGGCATATCAACACTCGAGGAATTTCGTCACGTCTCTGTCTGAGTAAGTTTCGTGAAGTAGGGCGTTACAGTTGCATCCAGTAATGGGTCCATTCCCAGCTATAAATAGAGTGCCAATAATAGCTAGAATGCAAGTTTTACTCGTTGTATTTTCCTTGAATTTTGCCTTGATTACTAATATCGCCATCTGAATTATATCGAACAGGTTCCCTCATTAAGAATGTGTGCTAAACTCGTGAAAAAAGCAGTAATAATGCGGCAATACGTGGAATAAACTAAAATTTTAAGTGGTCGAAAGATAAACTTTCACCAAAAAGAACGTTGCACTTAGCCTAAATTCCTTCCTGTGCCTGGATGACTCGTCCTCCTACCGGCACATGTACTTCTATTCGTTCTGTTCTCTTCCAGCCTTCACTCATAAAGTTCCAGCCACGTTCGTGCTTAGTTTTTGAGCAATCTGATTATCTGAAATACGATTCCAGCGGAGAATGAGGATGATTTAATAAAGTACCGAGCACGTCGGCCGATCCTCCTGGTCGTCTTCCCCGAATTCATTCTGACTGTATCAGAATCCACTCTAATGCTCTTTATGTTCCACAATATTTCACATTCCATAATTTTCTACAAAATTCCACCTATAAGTCTTCTCTAATTATGCTGTTGGCACAGTACTGCTTAACTCTTGCGGCGCACCAGACGACGGTGTTAAAGACAAGATATTTTTCGAAGCTTTGTATTACAAAGACCGGCGCTGTGTTAAGTACAACGGTTATTCTGCGGAATGCGCCACCAGAGTTTTTTATGAATTGTGCTCAACCTCTTTTGTGTAACTGAAGTATCACCCTATATATAATGCTGAGATATTTGCAAAACTCCAGACCGCAGGTGTATGCGGTCCGGAGTTTTGCAAATATCTCAGCATTATATACGAATTATAATTCGCAACATACCCTGCCATTAAAAAGAAAAAGGCAGTAAATAAAAGGGTTAAGATTGTGATTATCACCCTATATTTCAATCCCACAGTGCTGAGCTGGAATAACCATTCCGTTGAAAAACTGAAGACATAGGTCAAACCCAGTAACCAAGTCAACAGCTTCTGTTAGAGACCCGGGCACGTGCTAAGCTGTTAGTTGTTCTTCTCCAGAATTGTTTTCTTAAGCCGTTGTTAATAATTACTGAGCAGTGGTGATAAATCAGTGGTTAAGGAGTTTCATACTTTCAAAGTTTTTCTCTTTCGCAGCAAAACTCCAACACGAATTGACTGCTCTTGTTATTTCTTCGTACGTGAATTTATTTCTTTATTCAGTTTAACTCATCACTGCCTTTGATTTTGAAGTACTGTTGAAAAAGAGTAATGTTGGCTTTAAAATAAAGAATGGAAAGGAATCGTATCTATTCCTGGTCTCAGTTTTGTCAGTGCAAGCATTTTTTAAGAGTGGTAGTGAATATATTTTAGCTATACTTTGTCTACTCGTTTTCTTCTGAAGTTCTTTCCAATGTCTTGCGCAATAAAGCAGTATATTTGCGAAGACAGTTGAGGCTTTGGTCGCCTGCGGCCTTAGAATGTAACGATAGCATGCGAGTTTTTGAAATATTTCCCTTCCCACTTAGGTCGTGCATAAGTTTATTTCAGTTTCCTCGCTCGTCTCCTCAAATTGAATGTCAGTTCATCGTACGTGATTTCATTATTCACTGAGCTTCATAAACGATGAACCTTCTTCAGTTTCATAAAGTTTCCAACCCCCCGTTCTGAACTATTTTTTTCTGCAATGGTGTACACAGTTGAGTCCTCCTTCACTAAACGTCTCGCATTTTTGTCCGAATTGATGAAATTCTAAGTATCGAATGGAAACCAACGATCACTAGGCACCTGTCCTTTCCTCGTGCTGGTGTTTGCGGGTTACCAACGAAATCCTTAACTAATAGTATTACAGGTATTATCCGCAGACTGAAATAGAGAGATTGAGAATGTGGAATAGGTATTTGATCCTCTAGTTCCTATAGAACATGGACGTGTAGTGAGTGCAGCAATGACCTCGAATTTCGCAGCGTCGATAAGCAGTTCAGTTGTTGCCTAGGTCAAACACTGGTGGTGCAAATGAGTTAGACCGCTTAACTAAACAAAGCGTGTGACCATGAGCCTCCATCACCCATCAGCAAAGCCACTAGAGAGCTTCATTAGAGCCTCGTTTCGTGAAAATATATCACACATTATTTCGTGCTCAGACTACTGAGTAAATGACAAAACAGCGTATCTTACGCAAGTGAAATAGGATATCGGACGATCAACTTTCATGGGTTACGGTAGTGGCTTCATCTACTGTACGCAACAGAATTACTTTACAGTATTACTACAGACTTACCTTACATTTCAATTCCTTGTATCTTTAAATTCAGTTACGAATACATTGACATTAGTAATTTTTTCTGGGAAACCAAGAGAAAATTAGAAAAGTGAGTCAAAACGAGGTTGATCGAACACTGAAGCGAACATGCAAGAACACGATTTGGGCATTTAATACCCTCAACTCTAGTGACTGTACTTGAAAGGGAAGTTGCTGTTTACGTAGAACAGTTAACATCGCTTTTTTTTGAAGCAAAAATTTCCTCAAAAGCTTTCAAATTGACACGTGGTTTCATCGCACCCAGCTTTTTCTCAATGCTATTTATGCTATGAATGCTTCTGGCGTTCTATTCCAATACGTTTTTTTAATGTGATCCAAAACGCTCCTATGAAACCTTCGGCTTGCGCTGAGCATAAGTGAATATATCGTTTTTGTTATTAACTCTAGTCTTCCATGCTTCATGTAGTGTTATTAGAAAGATGTGTCAACGTCGGGCGTTGAATACAATGACCAGATTTGCATTCTATGTCGAATCTTTGAATAGTGACTTCGTGTTGCCTTGAATAGCCTTAATTCCTTCAATTCCAGTTACCTGTTGCAGCTGACTTCAACGTAAAAGTGAATCGTTTGGGAATGTTCCAACTGCAGCACGCTCAATCCAGAAAATATATATGCTTTAATCGCCGGAGAAGAGTCACCGTACGAGTATGTTGTGTCGTTTTCTTTTTAATTTTCATTGTGTATAACTGATGTGTTGCGCTCGTATGCCTCGACAAAAAAGAAGAAAGGCTATTAAAAAAGACTAAAAAGACGACATATTTCCAAAAACTGTTTTGTTCCAAGTTTTCAGCAAAATGAATAACAGAGTTAGTAAGATTGACAACTAGAAAGCAGACCGTGGTAATGTCACAACTGAAGCGCCTACATACACCGTGAAATCTTCTTAACCGCATTTTTCTTTAGGTATTCAGACGCTTACATCATCTCTTGACTTTTTAAACACTTTTTAATCTATATGTATATATATTTTTACATCCATACACACCTAAGATTCACAGATATATAGCATCCGAACCGCGTAGTTCTGCATCCACGCTTTTGAAGGTGGTAAAAAACAATTGATTAAAAGTACATCAAGAGTATAAAAAAGAGTTTAAAAATGGTAAAGCTCTCGGCGTTGATCAATCCCTGTGGGATGCTCCATGCATTCGACTGCATTAGGCATCGTTGGAGGTGACTGGAAATATATCTGGCCTTTACAGTGCCTCGCGATGACTTATGGCCAATGCTGCTATCCTTCCAGACAAGTCTGGTACAATTCTCCAGGTCCAGAGGGTGGAAGACTTGGTGAGCCTGTGGCACAGGGATCGATCCCATGTGCATTGCAAGGCGCCTCCGACCACTGCGCTTCACGCACCCCATCAAAAAACCAAACGGTATGGCTGAATATTAAAGACGATACCATACGCTATAGCAGACTACTACTACACTGTTACTATGCTACTAATACTACTACATTCTACACTGTTGCGCTGTGGTATTGTTATATACTATACTACTGCTACTCTACTATTACTAGCACTCGTTTTTTGATTTCTTTTACATTAAGAGCGTTCGCACTCTCAATAAGATAGCAGTAAGCACTATATATTTTAGCACAGTGTTCAACACAAAATATTTTCTGCCTTAAAGTTCTAGCGAAAGAAGTTCCTTCTGAAACGTGATTTATTTGCCAAGAACTATGCTTCTGCAACCATGCATATACTGCTTCGACATTTTAGCATGAACCCACAAACCACTAGCTGCTAACTGGCGTTGTTCAAACTGACTTGTAAGAAAACACAATGACCTTGTTAGCACTTCAGTGCAAGGGCAGGCAGTATAAAAGGCTCTGGCTTTGAATTTATGAGTAATAACAGCAATTTGCCAGATGTCGCCGGTTTTGGCGTCGACATGTACAACATGATAATTTTAACTCAAGAGCTGAGTATTTACTATTAAGCTATATTCCTTGCGTTTGGTTCACTGACTACGTATACATCTCTATAATAATCAGTTCCTGTTATATTGCTGTATCTCTCAGGCTGCAGCAAAAATTCATTGTCTCTTCCACCTATCGCTGCTGTCTTATCATTCAATCATAGTAGCGCATTATTCTAATCTTAATCACGTTAGTGGTGGCTGGATTATCCGAACCGGGTAAGAGAAGGACCTCGACACATTTGCAACCCGTTCATTATACGCAATATAACGGCAAAGAGAAAATATTAACGTAGATGTGCTTATTATAGTGGATTAAAAACAACACATTAAATCGTCAAAGCAGCGGCTAAAACATCGCCTCGTAGAGGACGCGCGTGCGAGTTTTTCTAGGATTAATTTGTTCGAATCGCCGTCAACTCTACACAGGACACAGGCAAAGGGAATACTATATGTATACCGTTAGAAATAAGACAAATAGTCTTCTAGTGGATTTTTTCCTTCGCTTCTTCTTTGTTACTTCAAAGCACTTCTTAAAACGGTCACCTCGTTCAAAAGTGTTTGCAATTTAAGAAGGAAAAAAGACGAGCGGCAGAATGACATATTCAATAATTCACTTGTCTTTTTCTATACTCTTTTAACGAGAATATTAGTTACAACTAACCACTGAACGATTCCCAGATTTTCAATCAACGAAACCTTTAGCCAAAACACTCACCAGATAGTAAAATGAGAGGGGAGCTATCAATAATTACTGTCACTGGTATGACTGCACTCTTTAACAATTTCTCTAAAAGAACATAGTAACGCAAGAAAATAAAAGTGATAGACTTATCAACAGATTCCTTCTCTATTTATACGATACGAAATACGATATTTTCTAACTGATAAAGTTCAATGAATCTCCTCTCGCCCACGCACAGTTGTTTGGCTAGGGAGCATTCTCAAGTCTTAAATCAATCCCCATCACTCATAGGTTGGTGAAGCAATAGTATTTCCGTAGACGGGTAGAAAGCACTCAGGTCACTAACAAATTTCAAACTATAAGACCTTGTACATTTATGCACAAAAACGTCTGTGAATTCAATTATAGGTCTTCATTCTTTCTTCTTCTCAAAACATCCTTATACCATCTGTTTAATGGCAGATCAGCAAATAATTAGTTGAGAATCGATCAATTTGATTGTGCAAGTTTCTGGACGTTGCTCATACCTCGCTTCTCTGTAAAAACTATCGCACCACGCGCAAATACTCCCAGATTAATGGACCAATGTTTAAATTTTCCAGTCGTTACGAAGTTACTCTTTTGTTTGAAAGTCACTGAGGGATGTTTCGCTGGACGACGTGAGGACTTGTTCAATTTAGCATTTGAGTAGTTCAAAGTTCATGATATCTATAGAATTCCAAACGAACAGTTAAAGGGTTGTAATCCACTGACGTGTTGATAAAGAGATTCCATTGTGTGCATTCACTCAAATTTATAAGTTTCTAAGTTAAAACCGCAGAATTTCCAACCGGTCTAAGAAAATACATTGCCAAGAACACTTAATAACTTGCAAGCTGTTTTACTGTTTTGCACTAGAGGCGTTTTACCAGTTTTCCTCCTTTAATTTACTTATGAGAGGTTCTGAATGGATAACTTGTGCTTCACTTTATGATGAAACTAGCACACAGAAAACCGGATGACGCCTAATTGAAAGAAATCGTAAAAGAACTTCAACGGTCTACTAATTCTATACAGTTCTATAGTAAACCAGTAACCTGTTGTTCAGTTTAGCTAAAGAAAGCCTGTAAGAGATGCCTTTTAGAATTTATTTGTGAATATGTCAAGCACGGCACCACACACCTTTTTGCAGACTGAGAAGCCTCTCAGATCACAACCGATGTGAATAAGAGGTCATCTACAGGTAGTCTACGAAATTAACTTTTCAGCTGATGATTACAATTATACGATTATTTTTGACTATTGCTTCATAAAATGAGTAGCTGTCGCTCTCCCTGGTGACTTAAGAAGCCAATTAACATTCATGGGCTACTCGAACAATTAATATTTCCCACTTATGAATGGATTTATAATCAGAATGTACTCTTCTTTAGTAAGAAAATACTAATGTAATTGTGTTTTTCTTCTTCTCTATTCACTTTTTGTTGTAACTGATGAACATGTGAAGCACCATCGGGTGAAATTATTTGGCACCAAACACGTTTTTCAAAGTTGCGGTCAAAACACATAACTAAAGAACAAGAAATTTGTTGTATGACTACAACATATCTAAGGTCATTTATTTAGTGAGTTTTTAAGGCTATGGCTAAGCCATCTCGAATCAAAGTAAGCGAATTTTACTACGAATTGCCTTTTCGCTAATGCAATAACTGGTAGATAGCTCAACGGCACCTCTTTACTTAATAATTCTATCCCATACAAATTTAATAAAATCTTTCCACTTTCAGTATTTCTATAGCGCAGCTGTTAGAGGCGCTTTATAACATAAAAAAGGTTAGTCGTTGGTTTGTCTCCGTTTCCTGGACAAACGAACCCTTCCATTCTTCTGGAGTAGGTGTGCCGCTACAAACCTTGTCTGCTAGCACAGAACATCGTTTTTAAGCATGAGTATACCACCCCAAATCACTGTGTAGGGAAATATACCTTCGGTCACCTTTACGATGCAACGAATGGAGGTAAATTCTTGATGCATCCCACATAGATGTGTTTTAATCTCTATTTTAGATAGGTTGCATTTATGCTATGAAGCTGACCTAATGGCGATTACGAAACTAGTAACTCTTTGTCTAAAATCGCACCAGACAATCCACATTGGTGGTAATAAAATTGTTGGAACAATATAAACTCATTGTATTAAAACATTGACAATTACTGGCATGCTATGAAGGTGCTGTTAACCTGGTCCTCTAAAGTGTGTGTTTTTAGTCAGAACTCCTGGAAAAACATACATTGAAGTGTGATAATTATATAGAATATGTCTCATTTCCGTCTATATCTGTCCTTCAGTATGTAACGTCATCTTCCTGAAAACGCTGCAATGTGTCTTGTGATTAGTTTAAAGACCGTGGTTTCCCCCACTTTTTGTATAGATGCCCAGAACTTTCAAGATGCACGCAGCGCTCAGAGAGGACATAAGGAACTGCATAGAGTGTATATCACACGAAGCTAAAAAATCTAAAAGATTGTATTGAGTCAAACAGTCTCAGCGAGAATGTCTATTGTTCTACTAATTGCTACATTAATTATACCGTGAACTATGTTCGTAACACAATTCTTAACTAAAATTCGTAACTAATTGCTCTGACATTGAGTGGATCACTTTTTCAATCAAAGTTTTGAAGTACTTCAGAAAATACGGTTAAAAATTTCCTCTTTCATTTCAGGTCGAAGGCGATAGCTTGAGATGCTTCTTTATTGAAAGGATTAATGAACTCGGCTACACAGAAATCGAGTCCGCAACGGATCCGGGACAATTTCTTGGTGTGCACTTTAAGTCAATTATTTGAAAAATGTTTTAATACAAGCGAGTAAAAATGACAAATTGGATTGCAAAACAGGTTAATCATTACTACTACGGTGCTCACACGCTCCATCCTAAATAAAACTTCAAGTAGTAGTAATTAGTATCAACGATTTCTTCCAAACCACATCTCCTAGCTTCGGCTAAGCTTAGCAAAATTTTTAGTATCACTTTAATACTACGTCCTTAGTAGTCTTTGTGGTCGTGTAAAATATCATGCTCTGCTTTTGTTACAAATATCCGTCTTCTATAATTAGACACTGCGAAACTGGTTTTCACCTATCCTACAGATTTCGAGACGTTATACGTTATGCACTGCAATTGTTCCCATCGACCGTCATCAAAGAAAGTTACCAACTCGCGGTTTGATAAAGGGCGCAGAACTGGGTTGACCTAAAACAACCCATGACGTTATCAACAAATTGAGTCTGCTGGATCTCTTTTTTAATTATTGCCTTCTATCCTTACGAATTACCTTCTGCTAGGTGGTATAAATTTCTTGAAAACACAAAAACATGTTATTCTTTAAAGATCTTAGAACGATCGATATATGATTTCACGTGTGCCCGATGATAGACTAAAAGTATTCGCCGAGCTTCCAGATTATTTGTGGATTGACCACCTCGATTCTTTATTATCAGAAAGGGCGAACGGGTTGATATCCCAGAAGCTAACCAGACTATTTCGTCACACTGCTTGTGTATCACTTGAATTCCTCATGTGATTTATAGGTTCGATAGTTTGTGCCTTAAAGCTGCCCTGACCAAGATTTCCTGACGGAGGTGGCCAAATTCTTGGTTTATTTTTCTCAGTTGGAAAACGGTCTTTTGGAAGTAATTTATGCCAGGCAGCCTTATAAGGATAAATGCTACACAAATATGATTTTGCTATCTAGAAATCAAACTAACTAGATAATAGGAGCTGTCGACAATGTTACATCCATTTTAAAGCTAAGTAAACGAAATTCTCCACTTGATCATGATTTTAAAAATCTCCCACTACGGAAAAAAAATTCGTTCGCCTTTCAGGCTTCAATAGTCGGGGCAGGTTCCAGGATCCATCTACATATCACGTGAAACGAAAATGTTTTTCATGGACGAAATTACAAAGATACGTGCCGAATTCTGAACTACATGGATGCCATCCTCAGCCTAAGAAGAAATCGAATCAGATACCTTCTACACCCAATGAGAAGTTTTTTAGAAATATTATGAGAACAGCGCTCTTACAGAAGATTCGAGCAACGGTAGATGGTCCTTATAAGCCGTGAGACGTCACTTTTTTGTATATCTGATTATTTTTTCACTTTAAAGTCCGCGGTAGTTTCTGAGTATTCGATCGCTCAGCCTTCCACTCGTCATATGACGAAGCACATAGGTATTTCTCAATAGAGAAACGGAAGCCATGACATCTCTCGAAATACTCACTGCCGAAAACTACTTGTAGTATACTGGATGAGAATCTTGCGTAATGCCTAATTTGTTGGTGTCTTTGTATTTGTTATATCATTAACTATTTATTGTTTCTAGATAGTTTCTTCTTCCTTATGCCTGTTGGCAGTACCAATTCACTTCGTTTCCCACTCAATTTGTGTTTTTCGATATGCTTTAAACTCTTGAACGCGCTATTTCTCTTTGTAATTGTACTAAGCACGCAGTCTGCAAAACATGGACATGGAAAAACTGAGGGTAATGTAAAGCATTGCAGACGAATGAAACGCATGTTCTACTTACCATTTATCATAAACATCATATGGCAAAAATGTATCGAGCTGAAACCAAAAGTTATAACAAAGATCCGGAGAAGTGAATTTTTTCCGAAACCTGGTATCTGGGCTGCCCAATTCAATTTGTTACAACCTTATTTTCACAACCTCTAACAGGTGTGGCACAGTGGTCGGAGGCGCCCAGCAACACACACGTGGAGTTGATCCCCATGCCCATGGCCGACCAAGCCTTCCATTCCTCTGGAGTCAGCAAATTGGTACCAGACTTATCTGGGAGGATAGCAGCACTAGCTCGATAGATCGGAAGGCCAGCGCGAGTCATTGTAAAAGGCAGATATGCATTCAATCACCTCCAGCGTTGCTTACTCAAGTCGAATGCATGGCGCATTCCTCAGTGATTGGTGGACATCGAAAGCTCTATCCTTTTTCATCCTAATAGGTTTCACGTTTCTTTTTTAGCGAAGCTAACGATAGCAAAGATATTATGGAAACGTCTTTTGCCTAATGTGTTAGAGTAGGATTTATAGTCACATCTTAGGTTAGTCGTGAAGAATAATTTTATCCTGTTAGTAAGGAATACTAGTGAAAAATTTGTTTAATGAGAACAAATTAAACTTCAAAAGATGTAAACACATCTTCACTCACCCCACTCTGTTCTCACTTTTCTTCAGGTACCACCTGTGTCACCTGTAGTTCCGCTGTTTGTTGATTGACTCGAGACGGCCCCAGTAAATCTTACACTCTTTCCTGTTTCGTCCAAGAGTAGCCCAGTGGGTTTTGCTCACTTTAGAAACTCGTCAAGCATTATATCTTTCTTTTAGGCTTTTTGCGAAAACTCTGAATGTCGGCTCGGAGATCTTCCTGAAGTACGTTAGACATCCCAAGCGATCCAGTAACTAACGGCTCCTGTCCATCGGTTGTCATTCAAACGCATTACGTGTCCAGCCCACCTTATCTCCCATTGTTTGGCGTACAGAACAGCATCATTGATATTTAATCGTTGACGCAGGTCGGGGCTTCGGACTCTATCACTTACTTGTGTGAAACGGGATACTCGTAGCATCGTCCTTTCGACTGCGTGTTCCACAACGCTGAGTGAGCTTTCATCCTGCTTACGCATCAACAACGCTTCTGATGCATACGTTAGGGCAAGAAGTACCGTTGAGTCGTAAAGGTGGGCGCGGAGTCGGGTCTTCTTTGTCTTCTTCAATACACCTTCGATGCTCTTGAAAGTTCGCCAAGCCACTCGTTTTCTTCTGCTCAGCTTTGGAACTAAGTCGTTCAACATGTTGATTTCCCGACCTAGATAAACATAGCGGGAACATTCGGAAGTATTCGTTCCGTCGAGGGTGAATGGTTCATGCAAAAGCAATCCGTTCTTCATGAACATCGCTTTGTAAGGTTTAGTCAAAGATCAATCCTTCCTCTATCAAAGTCGGCAAGCATGCGTTTCGCTTGGCTAATGTTTGGTGTTACAAGGACGATGTTATTAGCAAAGCGAAGATGGTGTAACTGCCAGCCATCGATTTTCACTACCATATTATCACATTTCAATGTTCGCATGACGTTCTGGAGGGTGGCGGTAAATAATTTTGGCAAGGTGGCATCGCCTTGCCTAACTCCTTTTTGATGTCAATGTTAATACTTTTGTAGAATGGTGATACCTTTGTTGTGAAATATTCGTACAGCTCACAAAGAATCTTTATGCATTGAGTAGAGACTCCTCAACTATCAAGGGCTTCCATGACTTTTTCTATCTCAAATGAATCAACGGTTTTCTGGATGAAAGTGAGACAGGGCGGTCTTTTGTACTCTCGCGATACTTCAATGAGCCGCGTCACCGTGTGGATGTGGTCCATCGTGCTAAATCCTTTTCGAAACCCTGCTTGCTCACATGGCTGTCCTTCGTCCAGTGTTCTGTCAATCCTGTTTCCGATGACTGGAGTGAAAAGTTTATGGACGGGAGACACAGAGAGTAAGCAGATTGGGCGATAGTTGTCGATATCGTGTAGGTCACCCTTCTTAAACAATAATACGGTCTTGCTGGTCTTCCACTGAGTAGGGACCTTGCATTCAGACAGGTAACGTGTGAAGAGCCGAGCCACTGTGCTCGCGAGGGCTGGCGGAAGGGTCTTCAGGTGTTCTGGTCTTATCCAGTCCGTACCTGGTGCTGTAAGATTTTTCACCGTCGAAATGGCGTGTCGGATTTCGGAAGGGAGAACCGGTGGTACAACATGTCCATCCTCTTTTATTTCAGACGACGGAAGGTGGACGTGGCTTTCGAAAAGGTTTGAGTAGTATTGGTAAATAATTTTTGCCATTGCCTTTCTGGACGCTGTAACTGTTCCGTCCGCGCGTCGGAGTGCAATTATCTTGCTCGTGTAATTGGCAAAGCTTCGGTGGGCTTTACGAATGCTTTTCCCAGCCCCTACAGCTTCAACCATTACTGCTGCTTTTCTCTCTCCAAGATCTTATTTTATCCCCTGTCTGCATTGTTTTCCAAGTTCGGATGTAAGTACGAGGTTGCCTGCAACTCGTGCGAAGCTGGAGTATCAGCTCGAGTGTTTCTGGAAAGGGACGCCTTTTGGTGAGTTTCGAACTCTGACCTTTCATATCGCTAACGTGAAGATATTGAATGGGCCGATCGTATTATTCGTCGATGTATCGACAACGGCACCTTCCCAACAGCCGACTAATGAAGTGAAAAACCCAGTTCATGGTTTTTCTCGGACTTCGGTTATTGAATTTAGCGCCATTTCTCCTTTCAGCGCGAAATGAAATCTTGCACGAAGGAGACGATGGTCTGATCCTGTGTAGAATTTTGGGACAGCAGCGACATTGGTTAGGTAAAACCTTCTGTTTTCTATGATGTGGTCTATTTCGTTATGGTACTCTCCATTGGGAGACTCCTACTTCCAGCCTTGAGAATGGCGCTTCTGGAATTGCGAGTTGCCCTGGAAGTTCTTGGAGGCCGTGATAACCTCAGACAGCTCCTCACAGTGTTCGTTCCATTCTAATCCTTGAATCTTAATGTGGTGTTCTTGTTGCTTCAGTCTAAGGGTTAAATCTTCCGATGATGGCCTTAAAGAATGTGTGGTCTTCTCTGTAGAACTTCTCCATGTCCATATAGAACGCTTCTTCTTCTTCGTCATAGTTTGATGTGGGCGCGTAAAGGACGATGATTGTCAAAGCCGGAATTGACCCACATCTTTTTAATCATAGACGTCCGATTCCGGCTGCTAGTTGTTCGAATCGATCGATATTCATGGTCAAACTCGTGTTGACGAGAACGCCGACACCGCCGACTCCTCTAACTTCTCGTGTTCTGAGGAACAGTTCCTCTGCGATGTCATAGACGGCGTTCAATGGGTGGCTTCGTCTCGTCTCGGCCGTGCCGATTTTGTCGTACCTAATCCTTCTTGATTGAATGAGCAAGTCTTCTATCCAGGACTCTGATGCAAGTGTACGTGCATTGTAGGTACAGACTGTCACGTTAGTTTTTTGCGATCCAGGCAGCTTCCATTGGAGCTGAGATTTTAGCAGCCTCTCCATACTCGTCCTACCCAACGCTTCCGAATTGGGGCCCTTACCGGGTTAGGGAGTAAGGCCCTTTTTTACTGTGTTTAGCATTTTGATACCCACGTATAGCTTGCTGGGCTCTGAACATGGGGGCTGCGTATACTCGCAAGTAGCTTGCCAGGCTCTCCCAGAGTGGACATGGAGCTTATTTGTTGGTCGCGACTCCTAACCGCCTCCAATATACTTCCCATTCACTTGATTGCAGGGCTTTGGCCGAATTGACTCGTGGGATACAATCCGCGTGAGCGAGAACGCACCCACACACGCATGCATGAATACGCCTGGCAAATACAGAAAGTATGTGCCAAATCATCGCAACAGAAACAAGGAGTTTATCCCCTGGATACACCTGGCTCTCAGGAAAGCAAAGGTCGCTTTTGGTTCGCGATTAACCCCCTATCCGTCACCTGGGGACGCGCCACGTAGCTTCGCGACTACCCGGATCGAGATCCTTCATATGAGGGTGATCCGTGGGTCTTCGGACAATTGAACATTATTTTTGCCTCTATTTTCCTTTTATAGTTTTCGGGAAAAAACTGAGCACACGTGCGGCTTTTTAATGCATCTTATCGACATCACATTCGCTCTTCATATTTTTAATGACGTCGCAGCACAATTTCATGGCAGTGGAAAAATCTACCATCCTTTTCTGAATAAGATATAGTCAAATAAACTCATACTTTCTCTAATATGCCGGCATTAATATGATTTACTGTAGTATTATACATCACCAAATCCATGACTTTCTGCGATCACCACATATTCGTTCTCGCTGGAAAAAGTGATGCAAACTTTTCCGTAGTAATCAATATTCACCACTGTTCTAGTCTGCTTTTCTTTTCAAGCTAGTGCTGTCGATGAAGCATACGAGAGACGAATCGAATGCTGGAATTACTGGGATCTGCACAGTAGATTTGAAATCGGATCATTTTAAAATTTCGCAAAAAGTGACTCGCTTTATTTTT